GGTTCGGTGCCTTGCTCAAGGGTCTCACCTCAGTCATGGTATTGAAGGTGGAAGAGAGCGCTGGTTATTCACTCCCCACACCGACAATTTCTGCCGGACCTGAGACTCGAACCAGCCACCAATAGGCCACAACTACCCTACACTTAACCTCCTGGGGTCGACGGTGGCGCTGGCGCCACCACGTGCATGTTTTACTGATAAGAGCAAAAAGAACTTAAAATGCTCGTTCATTTTTGTTTGTACACATAAGAGTAATACACCATTCGAATCTGTAAAGGGTCTACTTTTATTTGTGTACACTCACAATATCAACAAAACATTGTGCTTTTGCAAAATAAAGAAAATAAACAGGGTGTGCTTTTAATTTCAGTGACTTTAAAATTGTAGTTTTTCACTAAGCACGCATAAACGTTGTTTTCTCAAAAACACAATCACGTACATACATGCTGCTCACATATTATTGTAGCCCAGTTTGTGCTGATTACAGTGTTATTAAACTTTAGACATTCAAATGTTTGTAAGCAACTGAAAAAAGCACAAATGTCAGGGCATGTCAAAACTTTTCCAGGCCCCAAAACACCCTCGGACCCCAGTTAAACTAAAACGATTTCAAGGAAAATGAGGTTTATATGTGACATTATCCTGAATGTTCAATTTACAGTTGTGGTCAAAAGTTTACATCCCTAGAGAAACTGAAAAATGTTTACAATTTTAACCAATTATTGCCCTGATGAAGCCATTTAACATAGCAAGTGTTTATAGTCAACAAGACAAAATTATAGCTCAATTAAAAAAAAAAGGTTTGTAATTCTTTGGTTTTCCAGTGTCTTCTGATTCATTCAATTCAGCTTTTATTTTTGTCTTGTGAAATGGCTTCATCAGGGCAACATGCATTTTTACGGTCCCTCTATTTTATTAAAATTCTTAACATTTTGCAAATTCTGAAGGGTTTTGAACACAAATGTATAAAAGCAAAATTAAACCATTTATTTTGTTGTAGCTTAATACATCTGTCATGCTTGTTTTATGTTTAAACAGTCTGAAATCTCGGTTACAGTTTTTTACGTTGTCCTTGTTACAGTATCATTATACCTTTTAAGTACTGAGTAAAATTAATTAAATACATGTACTTACTATATGGTTAGGATGAGGGTTTGGTTTAGGGTTACTTGCATATAATTATGCATAATGTATTGTTATTACTATAGGAAGTACATGTAACATCTGTAACAAGGACACCGTAAAAGTGTGTCAAGTTTCTATGCCACCGTAAAGTGTTACCGAAATCTCTATTACAAACAAACATCTAATAAGCAAACCACATAAATAGATGAAGATTATTTCTTTATATAATTAAGACTGTATAACTGTTTGGGCAAATGCAGACAGAGGGACGAATCATTCATGAAAGGTTTGACTTCTTTGAATGATTTCTTCTACAGGGACCACCATCACGACCACCACAGGACAAACCACACACTGCACCACTTTCAGTTTGGTGCACAGTTACGATCCCCTGACAGTGCTCTGTCACACAGTGTTTGTCACCTCCACAGGCTGAGGACAGCGAGCGGTGGGCCGTTCACTGTGACTCTCTTCATCAGCCCTCAGCTGTGGGCCCCGAGCGAGGGGTGCCTGACACCAGCAGCTGTCTGTCTCCTCATGGGTCCGTCTCTGGAGCTCTGTCCACTGCATGGGCCGGCTCGAGTGCGTTCGGAGGGGACCGTCTGAGCAGGGCCAGTGTTGACACCACTCAGGGAAACCAACAGAGATCCAGGTCAGTTAGCTGAGAGATACAGCTCTTTATATACAACAAACCCTGGTTAACAACAGATCAGATCGATCTATAGCACAAACAAAATGCTCATTAATGTGATAGAATTTTTACAGTTTGTTCACCGTTATCATCTATGGTAAAAACCTGTTAAATGGTTAATGGTAAGTCAAAGTGCTTGTAAGTATATTACAATGGAAAATACAGATTTTAGTAATTTAGTATAACACGACTTCATTTAATTGCTTTTTTTTACTGTAAATTTACATTCAGTCTGTAAAACCTGTTGCTACTGTTTTTATATGGTAAAGTTCTGGCAACTACAGCTGGCGTTTTTAAATGTAATTTATTTTTTACATTTCAATATTTTCAAACAAAATGGAAGTTAATTTATAATAATGCACCAAAATAAAACATTTTGGCCAAAAATCTTTAAATTAGACTTTGTTTGGAATAACTAACTGAATTCTAAATATTTTAAGTCTGGCTTGTTTAATGAAAATAAAAATGCCCTTGTGATTTGTTGTTTAGTTATCTTCGCACAATGACAGCCTTGCTGGACCCTGCTCAGATCGAGGAGCGAGAACGCAGAAAACTCAAACAGCTGGAGCACCAGGTGAGATTCAGCCCTCGACTGAACCCGCAGGACCTCACTGCTGTACACATGCACCTTTATACTCCTTAAATATTCCTGAGCTCTGTAAGAATGTGTGATGTGCAGCGAGCAATTGAGGCTCAAGTAGAGGAGCGCAGACGTCAGAAAGAGAAAGAGGAGGCCGAACGGAGAGCACAGGAACAAGAAGAGGAGAGGAGGCTTGAAAGAGAGAGACAGCAACTCCAGCAGCAGTATATGAAGGACTCGGAGCGACAGAGACACAGAGAGGTAAAACACACACATACTACACAAAAATATAAAAAAAAATATATATAATAAAGGTGAGATGTAAATTCAGAAATTAGAGAGAAAAAAAATTGAGATGTGAACACTGCAATGTATGGAAAGCATGAATTCTGAGATATAAACTCTCAATTGCAAGAAAAAAGCTTTTTCAGAGTTAATGCTCTTTATTAAGAGAGAGGGATCTCTGTGCTTCACTTCTGGATATTGGTACTTTAATGGACATCTAGAAAACACAAATACTAACTCTACCCAATTTGTAATTGCAAAACTTCTTTCAGTCAATTGGATTCATCTACCCAGTGCTCTACTTCAAACAATGTACTAAACAAAGTGTGGATTTAATTGTGTAGAAATGGTTACAAATATCAGATGAAACTGTTCATGATCTTTTTTCTGCTGCACCTTGCACTGTGGCACATCCACTCCATTTACATGTATTTCAATGTGACTTCACTTTACAGCAGTAAAAACACACACAGCACAGCACAGAACACATGTTGAAGCACACTCTAGTTCTCAATAAATGGCTTGAAAGGGACATTTTTTAAGTTGTAAAAGACACAATGTTACATAGTATGCATTTCAAAAGAATAAGTAGAATGGTAGGGTCCATTTTGAGTAGTATTTTGAATATGAAAGTTGTGAAAACTATTCCAGGAGGTGCAGTCTCGTAAAACGGAGGAGCTGTATCTGAGCACTCAAAGAGCCCAAGAGGAGGCCTGTAAAGACAAACACATCCAGAGAATTAGAGACCTGGCCAAGAAAGGCCACGATGTGTCCAAACTGCTGCACAGCCTGGAAGCAGACTCCGTCTCACAGGGTAACATTTTCTCTGTATTCACAACATTTTGTGTGCATTATTATAAAGTAGTCTTTTAGCCCTTAGTGGTGAAGATGTCCCTGCTCCATCAGCCATGCTGCAGAGTCAAACCCAGAGAATGACACCTCCTTCCACAACATCTCCAAGAGAAGACACCGCTGTTCAGACAGGTTTGTTTCGTTCAAAAATGAAGATTCTGTCATCATTTACTTCTGGACTTTTGATTTCATACAACATTTCCATAGACACTCACTGACAATGGCTTTCAAGTTCCAAAAAGGAAAAGGTAAAAAGAATTATGAAAGTATAAAAGAACAGTTAAAGTAGTCCATGTGATGCACCATATTCAAAACCTCTAGAAGCCTTCAATGAGAGATGCTACAATTAAAACAGTTCATTTAGATTATTCACTAAAAATCTCAGCCAAAGCTCTCAAACTTGGTCTGTTTGTCACATTTAATCTGGCATTAGATTACAATAGGAGACAATGACGTTAAACATGCATCGATACGTCGGTTAACTCTGAAAATGGTTGTGAAATTTCGTAAATGATAATCTGATTTTGATCTGTTTCTCACACAAACTTTTCTGGTAGTTTTTCATTGTAGATGTGTCAGCTTGAACTGTTGTATGGAAAAGAGCTGAGTAAATGAAGTACAAACAGCATTTGTAATGAGAGGATGATGGCTAAATAATGACAGAATTTCAATTTGAACAAATTTAAAAAACAAAAAGTTGCAAAACGAAAGTTTGAGCATTGGCTTAATATCAGTCTGATTTTGCAGAGATGAGTGCTCCGCCTGTGAATGAGACCGTTAGAGATGCGGACAAACAATCTCCCAGAGCTGCAGGAACATGCACAGCTCCTCCAAACACTCTAAAGGGCAAGAAATCCCATCAAGGTGAGGTTAAAGCATCTGAAGAGAGCCACAGCAGAGAGCATATGTGTGCTGCACCGAAAGAAGTCAGAGCGGACCCTAATGAGCCTTACGCATGGGTCAGGAACCACAGACTGGAAAAAAGGCCCGAGTGGAACACACAGAGACCCAGTAAAGCCTTCGTCCCGGCGTCTGACCGGTACCCAGAAGCCCTGCAAAGACTTTACTTGAGTATTATTTTTTTCTGGGAACTTATGACTTTAACTTCACTACATTTGAAAGACAAATATTGTACTTTTCACTCCACTACATTTCTATCAAGATCCTCGAAGTAGAAAGTCGTTACTATGTAGCAGCTTTGAAAGTCAGTAGGTGATTTTTTTCTTCTCTAAAACGTGACTTTCTTTTTTTCAGACAGTTTATCAGTAATCACTCTTGTGGGGCTACATGAAGTGATTTCTCAGCATTTTTTGAACACTGACCAGTTGCAAATGTGATATTTATTTACAACAATGCAATAATAAGAAGTTAATATTGTGGTATATATTAGACACAATATTGTCTGATTTTGCTAAATTGTGTAAGTGAAAATATTACCTATAAAGCCACAGAAGAACTGTTGTGCGTCTCCTAATAAAACACAATAAGTGTTGGACTGAAGCAGCACTGCAGACTGTTCTGTGTGTGACATCAAAGAACAGCGAGAGCGATTAGACAGCATTTAAAATGTTTGTTTTGATGTCAAATAAGTCTTGCTGTTTTGCTTTTTTGTACAACAATAAATACGTTTTACGTACAACAATAAAACAGTGCATTGACATAAAAAAGGAAATTTACTTTTGGTACTTAAGTACTTTTAAAAGCAAGTACTTCTGTACTTTTACTTAAGTAACAATCTGTCTTTACAACTTTTACTTGTAATGGAGTAATATTTGACCAGCAGTATCTGTACTTTCACTCAAGTAATGGAGTTGAGTACTTTGTCCGCCTCTGGTCACGAACACCACCAGCAAACATGCTTAATCACAAACCTGAAGCACAGAGACTCAGGAGGTCTCCACAACTACAGGTGCAGCCTCACTTCAGCAGTAATTACAGTACTAAAAGAATAATTGATGTAATTGGAACCAGAACCATTGTTAAGTTCCTTGCAGTTCCCATCCCTGTTAATGCATGTAGTGTAAGTGTTGATGAATGCTGATATATGCATTTCAAAGTGTTGATGTCGTTTCTCTTTTCTGTTCAGAGTGAAAATCAACTCCGAGAAGCATCAGCCTTCAGTGCTGAAAGGTGAGGTTTTTTAGCCAGATTCACGTAGCTTATTTTTTTCTGATAAATTTTAATGTCACAAAATCATTTTTTTTTGCTTTTTAAAAGTACTTTTTTTTTTTTAGTAGATAAATGCATCACTGTAGTAGACTACAGTGACTATTTAGGGTCATAAATCTAAAGTAAACCAAATGTAATTTTTAGGCAAGAAAAGAACACAGTATGCCCTCTACACCACAAAAAACAAAAAAAAATCACTGATTTTATGAGTTTATTTACAGGAAGGTTATCCCTAAACATGTGATTACTGCATTTTGCAAATTAATTTTTTTTTAAATAAATGGACTTGTTTATTAAACCTTTAGACAAAAAAGTGTGTTTTTGTAGAGTATCATATTTGATATATCAGGCTTTTATGGCTCAGTTTGGTACAGGGGAATATTGAGCTCATACTCGAGGAAAAAAACAAAACACCTTTTATTCAGAGGCCCAAACTGAGCAAAAATATGCAATTTCTGCAGTTGCTGATATGAATATGGTAAGGTGCATGGTATGGTAAAATAAGATGACATTCTGATAGCTTGTAAAGTAACAGTAGCAGACTACTTACATAAAACACTTATAAATCAGTAGTCAATCTATATCACCCAATAACATGTTTTAGTAAGATATTTAAATGCTTAGTTTTATGATCAAAGCAAAACTGATTGAGAGATGCACAAATTAACATTTCTTAAAAGCCTGATTTTAACATTTGATTGATTTTTTTTGAAGACATTGTGCATAATCAAGTAATAAGTGTTCATTTTTAAATATTAACAATAAAAAGTTATTCTTTAAGATTTCACACCAAAAAGACTCGTGAAGCACAAGCTGAATGTGGATGTTTGTACAATTATACTAAAAGGCCTTTTACTTGCTAAAAAAGTATAAACTGAATGAGAGGACAGAAGGCATGTAGTAGATTATGCACAACAGGTTTTTATCAGAGAATGGGAATTATATGTAACACAATTGCAGTGAGTTGTAATAACTCTGGGACATTTCACTGAAATCTTTGTATATAATACAATACAGTGCATACTGCATACAGTTCATATCTACACCCCATCATGACAGCAAAAAACAGATTTGTGATATCTTGGCAAATTTTGAGAAAAAAAAAGTAAACACATTTTCTCTAGATATGACACTTGGAATTGAGGCCAGTCAAACCTGGAAATCTTGTCTCTTCACATCTGAGAAACTGTAGGTTTGAGGTTTTCATGTGTTTTGTGCTGAAGAGGGGCTTCTGTCTGCCATCAGCTCTGCCATCAGTCTTTCAGATCACTCGTCTCCTCTCTTACCAAGGCCTTTATCCTTGGGTTGCTCACTCAGTTTGAATGGACAGTCAGCTCTAGAAAGAGTCCTGGTTCTTCCAGACTTCTTCCATTAAAAATGGAAGCCATTGTGTTCTTGGGAGCCTTTAATATTTGTAGGTTTCTCCACATCTATGCCTTGACACAGCCCTGTCTCTGAGCTCAGCAGGCCTTTTCTTTGATCTCATGGCTTGGGTTTTGCTCTGATATGTATGTTCATGTTCAACAGTTATACCTTATATAGGCAAATATATGTGTGCTATTTCAAATCATGTCTGATCAACTGATCAACTGCACTCTAAAAAATGCTGGGTTGTTTCAACCCAACTTTGGGTCAAATATGGACTAACCCAACTGTTGGGTTAAATTTTTATGTGTTTTCTTGTGACTAAAGAGTGGATGAACATGCATTAATGTCCTTATAAAGTGTGAATCTCCAGCAGCGTGACGTCTCCTCCCGTTCCTGCAGTAAAGACCCATGTGCATCAGCCATCACAACAGTGCTCTCACCAAATGACGGAGGAGACGGGGCGCCTGCTGGTATCAGACTATGTGCCGTACATGCGCACAGACGAGGTGTATCACATGGACCCCCTCGCTCCACTCTCCAGACCCTCGACACATGAAGCCCAGCAGAGAGACACAGGTGAGGTTGAAACAACCCAGCATTTTTTAGAGTGTGAATTAGCCACAGGTGGACTCCAGTCAGAGTCTAGAAATCCCTCAGAGACGTGTCATAGCAAAGGGTCTGGATAACACTAATCTGGGCTGCGTTTCCCAAAAGCATCTTAAGCCTAAGTAGATCGTAGACCCATTGCCATCTATGGTCTCTACGATCAACTCAGCTTACGATGCTTTTGGGAAACGCAGCCCAGGCCGTGTGATAGTTAATTTTTTTCTTTTTAATAAATGTGCAGTTATCACAAATCTTGTTTCCAAATTCTATAATTTGACATGAGAGTTTACGGTGAATTGCAAGAAATGCAAAAATTGGAAAAAGCGTGAAAAAGACTGTAGTACTGTTTCCACACCTCATTATGCAGCTAAATCTTTTTCAACTGTGCTAATTACAAGAAATGTTTTTCGAGTTCCAGATCAGCACATTAGAAAGATTCCTTAAGAGTTATATAAGACAAGGTTTTCTTATTAGACTGGAGTATTGGCTGCAGGAAATCAGGCTTTACCAGCACAGCTAAAAACGTATGTTTTAAAAACTGTATTACTGTTTTTGTAGTCCAGTTAACCTTTGGTGAACAGAAAGATGAATTCCTCCCTGTAATATATATATATATTACAGTATATATACTATAGAGGACAGATCCTCATTGGGTTACATACGATGCATTCGTTACTTAAGCATGGATTCCTATTGAAATAACTATTTCTAATGTGAAAATTCGCTGAATGACAGTAACTGTAACTGCACCTTAATGCGGCAATCAGTGCACAGTATATATATATATATACACA